ATTTCTAGGTGTCCTCATGTTATTTCTCCTATTTTGAGAAAAATTATTATTATGCATAAAATTATTTTTCTTAGGTTGTCTACCATGAACATTTTCATTCCTAGGTTTTAGTTTAGGTTGTCTAGTGTCCTTAGGTTGACTAGGTTTTCTATTATCCTGATTTTTAGGTTTCTTACGTTGAACCTTAGATGGTTGTCTATGTGGTGGCTCAACGTTTTCTTTAACCTTAGCATCATTTTTATTGAAACCCATTCCTTCCTTAGAAAAATGCATGGTGTCAAGGAGCAAATTTAAATCTTTGTGCGGAGTATTAAATTTCTTGACCGTACTCTCAAGTTTTGTGACTTGTTTCTCTAAAGCTTTGCAAGATTCACATTTGTTTGAGGAACTTTCTGGTTTGTCGACGCTTCTTTTGCCATAAAATTTATTCTCTTGTTTTAACTTCTCATTATCTTTTTTTTAGATTTTCAAAATCATTTTCAAGAGTGGAGAGGCGTTTCTTTAACGATTTGTTGATTTTAGAAGCGCTAACAACTTCATCATAAAGTTCATGAAGTGCTTCTTGCATTTCTTCAAAGGTGTAAGAGTCGGAAGAAATGGTACATACCTCTTGTACATCGTCGGTTTGGTCTTCGTGCGCCATGAGACAGAGGTTGGCAGTTTCATCCTCGTCTTGATCAGTTGACTCGTCGCCGGAGTCGCCACCCCAAGAGATATACGCCCTTTGCCTTTTGAAGTGTCGAGCATTCCTTCCGCTTTTCGGGCATTTGTTCTTGATGTGACCGGCTTCTCCACATCCATAGCACACAGGGCCATCCTCAACCTTTTCTTTCTTTCTTAGAAGTTTGCAGAACTTCTTCATGACATGCTTGACTTCATCATCGTCGCTTGAATCATCCATCGTTGATTCTTTGACGGCTTTTAATGCTATCCCTTTCCTTTGGTCATTCAAAGACGGGTTAAGAATAGTAGATTCATAGGTTTTTAGATTACCTCTTAGACCGTCGATGGTGACATTTGATGTGCCGATTGATTCATAGATGGCATCGGCCTTGGATCGCCATTCGGATGTCAAGCTCCGTAGGATCTTTCGCACAAGATCCCTGTCGGTGTATGTCTTCTTTAATGCATGGAGATCGTTGACTATCTTGGAAAATCGGTCGAACATGTCGTCGATCTTCTCGTGCTCCTTCATCCTGAACATCTCATATTCTTGGGTGAGGAAGTCAATCTTGGCTTCACGTACTTGGTCCGTTCCTTCGTACGTCACCTCAAGTTTATCCCACATCTCTTTGGCGGTTGAGCAGCAAGAGATCTTGCGGTAGTCATCAGGATTTACGGCACAATAAAGCATGTTTATTGCCTTTGCATAATTCTCGACCTTTTTGATGTCCTCGGCATCAAACTCGTCTTCGGTCTTGGGGATCAACTTGTCTCC